TATCCATGTCTTGATATATACATACAAAAAGATCTCTTGAAAAATCCTCAAATATTTGGAAAATTTTAAGCAACAAAATTCTAAACCAACGAGTCAAAAAAGAAACCATAATTTAAATTGTAAATATTTTGAACTAAAGGATAGTGTAAACACAGTGTAACAAAATTTGTGGGAAACAACTAAAGAGAACTTAGAGAAAATTTTAGTCCTAAATTCAAATTAAAGAAATATTTAAAATCTGCTGTAAAGCTTCTACATCAAGAAAGTAGAAAGAGTAGACCACATTAAACTCAAAGATAGTAAAAAAAAAAAAAAAAAAAAAGTAATAAAGAGCAGAAAGCAATAACACAGAAAAAAGAATAGAGACAATCAACAGAGCTCAAGGTTAGTTCTCTGCTTAGGCTAAGACTGATAGAATGCTAGCAAGACAGATTTAAAAAAAAGGAGGAATTCTGCAAAGTTGCAGGGTATAAGGTCAACACACACAAATCAGTTGGGTTTCTATACACCAGCAATGAGAAATCTGAAAAGAAAATTAAGAAAACAATTTTATTTACAATGCCACTGAAGAGAATAAAATATCCAGGAATAAATTAAACCAGGAATGTGAAAGACTTATACAATGAAATTAGAAACCATTGCCAAAAGAGATTAAAGAAGACCTAAATAAATGGAAAGACTTTCCGTGCTCATGGATTGGAAGACTTAATATTGTTAAGATGTCAATACTACCCAAAATGATCTATGGATTCAAGGAAAACCCAGTTAAAATTCCGATAGCCTTCTTTACAGAAATGGAAAAAAACAATCCTTAATTTTATATAGAATGGCAAGAGGCCTGGAATAGCTAAAGTATTTTTGAAGGAGAACAACAGAGCAGAAGGGCTCACACTTCCTGATTTCAAAACTCTACAGCTACAGTAATCAAAACAGTTTTGTACTGGTATAATAACAGACACATAGACCAATGGAATAGAATTGAAAGTCCATAAATAAAACTACACATCTATGGCTTTTTTAAAAATTTTTTTTAATGTTTTATTGTGTTTCTGGTGAAAGTTTACAAAGGAAATTAGGTTCTCATTTAACAATTTCTATACACATTGTTGAAGCCCTGGTGGAGCAGTGGTTAAGAGCTACAGCTGCTAACCAAAAAGTCCGCAGTTCAAATCCACCAGCTGCTCCCTGGAAACCCTATGGGGCAGTTCCATTCTGTCCTATAGGGTCGCTATGAGTTGGAAATCAACTTGATGGAAATTTTTTTTTTTTTTTTTGGCTTATTGGTTCTACCTCCTAGAACCGTTCATTGCGTAGTGCCTGGGGTCTTAATAGCTTGCGATCAGCCATCCAAGGTACAATTAGTGTCTATTCACCTAGTGCAGCAGAGGAAGAAGGAGAGTCAGGAATAGGAGGAAGAAATGAAATGTACGTCTAATTTTCTCTATGAAGAACAGCCTCCTTTGCCACAAGACCAGAAGAACTGGATGGTGCCTGGCTACCATTAATGAAGACTTTGATCAAAGATTCTGCAGAAAAATTTAATCAAAAGGGGGAAAATGTAGAAAAAAATATAAAATTCTCAAGGAATCCAGACTTTCTGGAGCCATAGAGGCTGGATGACCCTGTGAATCTATTGTCCTGAGATAATCTTTAAACCTTAAACCAAAAATATTCCCTGAAGTCTTCTTTAAACCAAACAATAGTTTAGCTTAATTAGTAAGGATGTCTTCCTTGAGCATTGTGGTCTTTTAAAGAATTATCTATATGGGCTCAAATTGACAACAGCAACTTGAAAGCTTAGATGAGAAGCTTAGTGGGCAGTGAGTTCATGTTAATGGTGGTGGGATAATTTGGAAAGGGATAGTGAGAATGATTCCACAACTTGAAGAATATAATAAATGTCTGTGAATCGTACATGTAGAAATTGTTGAATTGGTATATGCTTTGCTGCGGATATTTTCACAAGAAGGAAGGAGACAGGCAGAGAGTGAAAGAGGGAAGGGGAGAAGGAAGAAAAGAAGAAAGAAAATGAAAAAAAAGTGAATAAATACAAATTACCAATACCAGATATAAAAAGGGGGATAACATTACAGAGATATTAAAACCAACCTACTCCAGTATGACCTGATGTTAACTAGTTGTATCGGTAAAGATTAGAATTTTAAGATGATAAGAAGATGTTATGGGTTGAATTACAAAAGACATGTTAAAATCCTAACCCCAGGTACCCATGAATGTGAGACCTTATTTGGAAATAGAGTCTTTGCCAATATAATTAAGTTAACATGAGGTTCGTACTGGAGTAGGTTGGGTTCTAAACCATTATGAATGATGTCCTTACAGAAAGAGGGAAAGAGACACAGACAGATGCAAAGGGAATTCAGTCATGTGAAGAAGGACGCAGAGATTGGAGTGATGCTGCCACAAGCAAGGAACAAATGGGGCTACAAGAAGCTGGGAGAGACAAGGAAAGATCTCCCCCCTAGAGTCTTTGGAGAGAGAATGACTCTGCCCACATCCTGAATTCAAACTTGTACTCTCCAGAACTGAAGCAATACATAACTGTTGTTTTAAGCCACACAGTTTGTGGTATTAGTTACAGCAGCCCTAGGAAACTAATATAGAGGATATTATAAACAAGTTTAATATCAATAAATTTCATCACTTACAGAAAATGGGCAATTCCTTGAAAAACATAACATTCCAAAACTGACATAAGAAGCAGAAAATATGCATAGTCTTATGCTTGTTAAAAAGAAATTCAATTAATAAATAAAATCCTCCCCACAAAGAAACTCCAAGCCTCACAGATAACAACATTGGTAAATTCTATGAAACATTTAATGATAAAATATTATCAAAAATATTTAGATGAATAAAGGAAGTGGTTTAAAGTCAGGAAAGGTGCGCGTCAGGGTTGTATCATTTCACTACACTCACTCAATCTGTATGCTGAGCAAATAATCCAAGAAACTGGACTGTATGAAGAAGAATGGGCATCAAGATCGGAGGAAGACTCATTAACAACCTGCGATATGCAGACAACACACCTTACTTGCTGAAAGTAAAGAAGACTTGAAATACTGATGAAGATCAAAGACCACAGCCTTCAGTATGGATGACACCTCAACATAAAGAAAACAAAAATCCTCACAACTGGACTAGTAAGTAACATCATGATAAATGGAGAAAAGATTGAAGTTGTCAAGGATTTCATTTTACTTGGATCCACAATCAACAATGGCGGAAGCAGCAGTTAAGAAATCAAATGATGCACTGCGTTGGGCAAATCTGTTGGAAAAGACCTCTTTAAAGTGTTGAAAAGCAAAGATGTCACCTTGAAGACTAAGGTGCACCTGACTCAAGCCACGGTGTTTTCAATCACCTCATATGCATGCAAAAGCTGGACAATGAATAGGGAAGACCAAAGAAGAACTGACATCTTTGAATTATGGTGTTGGCAAAGAATATTGAATATACCATGCACTGCCAAAAGAATGAACAAATGTGTCTTGGAAGAAGTACACCCAAAACACTCTTTGGAAGCTCAGATGGCGAGACTATGTATGTCTCACATACTTCGAATGTGTTATCGGGAAGGACCAGTCCCTGGAGAAGGACATCATGGTTGGTGAAGTGGAGGGTCAACAAAGAGAGGAAGACTCTCAACGAGATGTACTGACAGAGTGGCTGCAACAATGGGCTCAAGCATAACAAGGACTGTAAGGATGGCGCAGGACCGAGCAGTGTTTCATTCTGTTGTACATAGGGTCACTATGAGTCGGAACCAACTTAAGGGCACCTAACAATAGCAGGCAGAAAAGAGTCCACACTGATTAAATTCTTAGGAAGTTCAAGATTTGGCAAAACTAATCTATAGCAATTAAAGTCATTACAGCATTAGCTTTGGGGAGCTGGCAGGGGCACAGGTATTGACTGGAATGTGGTCCTGGGGAATCTTTCAGGGGGGGTCATAAAAATATTCTGTATATCTTGCTCTGTGTATGTTCCTGTATGTAAATTATACTGTAATAAAGTATTGTTAATAAATAAGTCAAAATTTTCTGTGCCTAGATATGTCAAGATGTAACTGCCAAGAGCCTGTAATCTCAAGGGAAAATATAGGGTGAGCAATTGTTCCAGAAAGGAGTCCTGGTGGTGAAGTGGTTAAGCACTTGGCTGCTAACTGAGAGGTCAGCAGTTTGAACTCACCAGCTGCTCTGCTGGAGAAAGATGTGGCAGTCTGATTCTGGAAAGATTTACAGCCTTGGAAACTCTATAAGGGCAGTTCTATTCTGTCCTATAGGGTAGCTATTGGTCAGAATCAACTCAATGGCAACAAGTTTGGTTTTGGTTATCTCTCCAGAAGGAGCCCTGGCAGTACAATGGTTAAGTGCTTGGCTGCTAACCACAGGTTGGTAGTTAGAACCCATCCAGTGACTCCATAGGAGAAAAACCTGGCAATCTTCTTCTGAAAAGATCACAACCTAGAAAACCCTATGGGGACAGTTCTACTGCGTCACATGGGGTCATTATGAGCCAAAATCAACTTGACAGCATCCAACAAAAAAACCACAAGAACAGTTACGACAACAACAATCTTTCCAAAAGTCCAGTAAAGTCACCAAGCATATCAAAAAGAAACAAACATTGTTATCTGGAATGGTGATATTCTTGCTAACTGTTAAAGATTGTTGTATAACAATTACTAGGCTGGAATTTTATGCTATTCTGTCATCCCAGTTGTCCCTAACTCCTTTTGAAGTCCTTGATCTTTCTGAGAATTTGATGAAAACTACAGACCCTCTCAAAAATTTCTGCATATAATATCTGGAGGTTTATGAACCCCTTGTGTCTTATAGATCACTACATAAAACTTCTTTTAAAATCCACGTTATTATTATTTTTTTAATTCAATAGTTTCCTTTTAAAGTACAGGATCTTCTTAATCATTGAAAACTATTTTTGTTATTTTAACCTAATTCTTGCAAGTAATTTACCTGAAATTTCACAGGCTGGTTGATATCAGACACACGGAACTGCTTCAGGAACCGCTCATCCTCACTCCAGAACAGGCGGATGTCAGGGATGTCATAGAGGATCATGGCCAGCCTTTCTAATCCTAGACCTAAGGCCCAGCCAATCTTCTCTTGAGCGCCAGCTATAATTAGCAAACAAAACAAAATAATTGTTTTAAAACATATAAAGGCTAGACAGGTTCCTACTATTTCCTGATAATTATCAGTAATGTTGATTGTGGCAAGACATTGAGGAGAAGCTGCAAAGACATCCAAGAATGGGCTTAGTCTTCCATTTTTCTTCCTACCCACATTCCATACTTCCCTCACTGACACACTCCGGAATCATACTATCTCTACTATTGTCTTGCATTCATTCCTGATTAAATTCCAGGCTTTTAAGCCCTGGTCACTGCCTCTGAGCTATTATTTTTACAGAAGCAGGAGAAGACAGTCTCTGTCCCTAAGTAGCTTACAGGTAGGCAAGTATGTCCACAACATACCACAGTAGGTGTCTCACAGTCACAAAATGTGTATCAGGCTTTCAAGGGCTCTCAACTTCATAATTCTCTTCATAACACCGTAACTCTCACTCTAGCAATCGTTACTTCAACAATACATAGAGAACAAGTGCGTGAAAGTGAAATGCGTATCTAGCACCACTCACCCCAAAGGTAATGTGTGTTGTCCAGATGTGTCAACACCACGAACACTAAGGGCTTATTTCACATACATCAGACAGAGCAAGAGAGAAGATACAAACTGCTATATGAAGAAAGGGAGCGATTCACATTACTGGAAAAGGTTAAGGAAAGAACACATAAAAGAAACATCGTTTCAACTGGACACTAAAAGACAGTAGGATCCTTTGGTAGGCTGAACTCTGAAATGGCCCCAAGGATTCCCACTCCCTCTTGCACATGTCCAGTAAGATGCCCTCCCCTTGAGTGTGGGTAGGCCCTGTGAATATGACAGGATGTCACTCCCTTGACTAGGTTATATTACATAAGACACCATCTTAGCAGAATGGAGAAAGATTCTCCTGCTGGCTTTGAAGAAGTGAGCCATCATGTCATGAAAGGCGCCCCTGACTAGGACCTAAGGGTGGTCTCAGGAGCTGAGAGACACCCTGACAACCAGCAAGAAAATGGGACATCAGCTCTACAATTGTGAGGAACCGCATTCTCCTAACACTCTGAATGAACATGGAAGAGGACCCGGAGCTCCAGATGAGGATGTGGCCTGCTAGCACCTTGGGACAACAACCTGGGGAGACCCTGAGCAGAGGAAGCAGCCAATCTGTACCTGGACTCCTGATGCAGAGAAGCTGAGACAACAAAACTGTGGTGTTTTAAGTTACTAAGTCTGAGCTAACTTGTTAGCAGCAATAGAAAACTAATACAGATCCAAACTACAGAGAAAGCAGAAAGGAAATTCTAGACTGAGGGAAGCTCCTCAATAGCAAAGGAATGGAGGGGCAGCAGAGGGAGTCTTGGGAGTGAAATCTGGAAACAAAGACTGGGAAAGGCTGTGTGAGTAAGACACTGTGTGTGGGCCAGCTTCCAGACAGGTGCTGCTGCCACCACCATTCATAAATGAAATGAGGACAAACAGAGTAGAACAGAAGCCACAAAGTGTGTGCCTCATAAAATAATTTGCTTAAGGGATAAATGGATTTAAAAATATATTCAAAATGAGAACACAAAAGGAAAATGATACAAAGAAAGAATGACTCAATAAGTGAGAGGGAAGGAGCACTTGAAAGAAAAGTGAAAGGCTGGCAGAGTGCTGACAGTGTCTGTGTTAGAAGGAAGTAAGGAAAAGGAGAAAAGGGAGATAACAGAAACAATGGTGTGAACAAAAAGTGTAAGTGACTCCTGACCAACGGTCAACTGCCTAAAAATCAGTTGAAGACTGAGGCAAAAAAAAATTTAAAGTCATTTATACTGATGCATGAAAACTTTACTAAAGAGCTAGGGATTCAAGATGGTGGCCTAGTAAGACGAACCACACTGCCCCCTACAGCAAAGACCCAAGAAACAAAGTGTAACAGATACAGAAGACAACTCTGGAACCCTGAACATCAAATGAAAGGATATAGATCAAACAACAACTGGAAAAAGAAACTGAACAAAAGCAGTGAACGGAGCAGAGGTACCCTGCAAGCTGGTCAAGCACACTGGGGCCATTCTGAAACAAAGCCAGCAGCAACCCTGGGTAAGGAGCATAGGAAGACAACATCATGAAACTCTCAACAGGAGACAGAGAAACTGCGAAGACATACCCAGAGTAAAGCAAGGTGAATAGAACATGAACTGGAGCTAAGGAGGGGAAGTACAGGAAGGAGGACGAGAGCTTCAGGGATCCAGGCGTACACAGAGCACATAGGAAATCAAGACCCAGAGACGTGGTGACCCTCCAATGGCAGTACCTGAATAGTACAGCGGGTGGCAAACATGGGGCAATAGACAAGACCTTCATTTTTTTGTTTGCTTTTCTTTTCTTTTTTATTTTTCTCTCCCCTACCCCAGCTTGCCCGCCCTGCCCCTCCTCCAATGGAGAGAGCACCTGCACGAACCATGGCCACCTGCCCTGCCCCTCTCATGTTGGAGAAAGCACCTGTGTGCCCCACAAATGCCCATCTCCTCCCCCACTAGAGAGCACGCATTCTGATATATCAAAACAAAACAAAAAAATCATAAATAAATAAAATAACACTTTAATGTCTCGGAGATAGCAGACAATATCAAATCATATCAGATACAAGACAAGATGGTTCAACCAGGTGACCAAAGTAAACGGGCAGAAAACCTTCCAGAGGAAGAGATGGTGTTGGAACTGCTTCATAAGGAATTCAAAAGGCTTATACACAGTGTACTCAAAGAGATCATGGAAAACACAGTCAAAACCAAGGAAAACGTAAGACAAAACTCCAAAAGAATGCAGGAAAACAATACAAGAACAAAATGACAAATTAAATAGACAATTAGAAATCATACAAAAACAGTAACTAGAAGTCTATAAGGTTAACAATAAAATACCAGAAATAGATAACTCAATGGAAGGACACAGAAGTAGAACTGAAACTATGGAAGAAAGAATTAGAGAAATAAGAGGACAAAACCCTTGATAACAACTTGTTTGAGGAACAATAAAAAAAAAAGGAATGAAAAAAAAATGAAGAAAGCATAAGAGTTATGTGGGACACTATGGGGAGGAATAATTCCAATGTGACTGGAAACCGAGAAGAGGAGGAGACAAAAAAAAAAAAAAGCACAGAGAATTTTTGAAGATCTTCTGGAAGAAAATTTCCTCAATATCATGAAAGATGAGAAGACTTCCATCCAAGAAGCTCAACGAACCCTATACAGGATAGACCCCAAAAGAAAGTCACCAAGAAATACCATAATAAAACTTTGAAAGTCCAAAGATAAAAAGAAAATTCTGAGAGCAGCTCATGAAAAACGAAATATAACCTACAAGGGGGCTCGAATAAGACTAAGCTCTGATTTCTCAGTAGAAACCATGCAGACAAGGCAGCAATGGGATGACATATATAAAACCCTGAAAGAAAAGAATTGCCAACCAGGAATCATATGCCTAGAAAAATTGTCTCTCAAATACGATGGTGAAATTAGGACATTCTCAACTAAACAGAAATTGAGGGAATTTGTAAAAACCACAGAATCCTTACAAGAAATGTTAAAGGCAGTCCTTAGGATAGAGAACCAATGATACCAGACAATAAGCTAAGAGAAAGCCACATGACAGCATTACCAAGATGCCAACCCAGACAGAGAAATCTCAAAAGTAAAGTAAAGCTACAGAACTGGAAACAGGGAACCAGAGATATCAATCTGGAAGCAATGACAACTTCAGAACAAAAAAGGGGAAATAAATGGTGTATACAAAGAACTTCCATATGGAAAGAAAGTTATGGTGATATCAAGAAATAACGGACTGTTATAAACTTAGGAAGACAAAGGTAAATGTCAGAGTAACCACAAAGAAAGTTAATAAACCTACTCACCAAAATAAAGAAGAAGAAAACCATAGACTCAGTAAAAACAAAATCAACAACAATAAAGGAAATGAAAATACATAAACAAAAAGAACTCAGTACAGAAAATTAAGTGGAACAAAGAAAATGGCAACACCACAACACAAAGCGTAACAAAATGACAACGGTAAATTCATACCTATGGATAATCATACTGAATGTAAACGGTTTAAATGCACCAGTCAAAAGACAGAGAGTGGCAGAATGGATAAATAACATGACCCATCAATATGCTGCCTACAAGAGACAAACCTTAGACACAAAAACATAAACAGGTTAAAAATCAAAGGATAAAAAATATATCTCATGCAAACAGTAACCAAAAAAGAGCAGGAGTAGCAATATTAATCTCTGATAAGATAGACTTTACATCAAAATCCATCATAAGAGACAAGGAAGGGCATCATACAATGATTAAAGGGACAATCCACCAAGAAGACATAATCATAATAAATACGTACATACTCAATGACAGAGCTCCAAAATACATAAAACAAACTCTAACATATTGGGAAAAGAATATGGTAATACAGAGGAAGACCCATAAAAATGTTCATACACTTCATTCTTATGACTTCAGTCAAGAATTTATCTTAAGGAAATAACTCAACAGAAGCAAAAAGATCAACGAAAGAAGCTATTCAGAACAGTATTACTTATAAGAGCAAAACCACGGAAACAAAAGTACCCAAAATTAGGGAATGGCTTAAAAACTGTTACACTTTAATGTAGTTACTAAAAATTATAATCATACAAATACATGTTTATTAAATGATAGACTAGAACAAAATATGAAAAATCTAGGACTAAATATTTACTATAATACTACTTAAAATAGTTACAAACGAGGGATGCAATGGAAGAAAGTAAAAAAAAGTGATGTTTCACAATGTTAAGGGATGAGAGTTCTAAAACAACTTCAAAACATTTTTCTGTAATTGTCATAGGCTTTGCAAACACAAATAATAATAAAGAAAGGCTGGTGGGAGAGTTACTGCTGCTTCTTAACTCAGGCTTTTTCCTTAATGTCAAAATCTTTTAGAGTTTATGTATCAAATCTTTAGATAAAATTAACCCCCTAAA